ATTAGTGAATTCCATGATGAAGTCGGCTATAGCTTGCCCCTTAATTGCTGTTCAGGGTCGGTAAGAGACGTCAAACTGGCTGAGTTCCATTGACCATTGCATGAGTCTGCCGGAAAGTTCTGGTTGCTGCATGACCTTCTTCAAGGGTTGGTCGGTGAGGACCACTATGGAATGGGCTTGGAAGTATGGACGGAGTTGTCTGGAGGCAGTGACCAAGGCCAAGGACAATTTTTCTAACAGTGGGTAGTTCTGTTCCGCTCCCCTGAGGGCCCGACTGATGTAGTAGACCGGTCGTTGGACAGAGCCGTCTTCCTTGATAAGTGCTGCACTGACAGCGGTGTTTGATACGGCTAAGTAAAGGAAGAGGGGCTCGCCCATGATTGCCTGTGAAAGGACGGGAGGGTTGGCCATGCACTGTTTCAACTGTTGAAAAGCCTCTTCGGATTCAGATGTCCATTCAAAAGTTTGTCGAAGAACTTTAAAGAATGGTAGGCACTTATCTGTTGCGCGGGAAACGAAACGATTGAGGGCTGCAACTCGGCCAGTGAGTCTTTGAACCTCCTTAACCGTTCTGGGTGACTGCATCTCGACCAAGGCCTTGATCTTTTCAGGGTTAGCTTCAATGCCCCGCTGATTGACCATAAAACCCAAAAACTTCCCAGATCCTACGCTGAAGGCGCACTTCTCTGGGTTGAGCTTCATTTAGTACTTGCGTAGGATGGCGAAGGTCTGCCGCAGGTCGATCAGATGATCAGTGGAGAGTTTGCTCTTGATTAGCATGTCGTCGACATATACTTCCATATTCTGACTTATTTGGTGATGGAAGACGGCATTGACCAACCGTTGGTAGGTGGCCCCAGCGTTCTTCAATCCGAATGGCATTACTCGGTAATGGTAAGTACCTCAGTCGGTGATGAAGGATGTATGTTCCCGATCGGACGGGTGCATCAGGATTTGGTTGTAGCCAGAGAAAGCATCCATGAAGCTGAGCATTTGATGACCGGACGTGGCGTCGACCAGCAGATCTATGCGGGGAAGAGGATAGCTGTCTTTGGGGCAAGCTCGATTCAGGTCAAAGTAATCGACACAGAGTCGCCATTTGCCATTGTTCTTGCGGACGAGGACCACATTTGACAACCATTTAGGGTAGTCGACATTTTTAATGAATTGGGCCTCAAGAAGCTTGTCGACCTCTGCGGCTATAAAAGTATTACGCATCGGATGAAAGATGCGCTGCTTCTAGCGGTAAGGTCGGAAATGAGGTTCAATACTGAGACGATGAGTTATGAAAGAAGAGTCAATGCCTGGCATATCTGAATGAGTCCAGGCGAATACATCATTGTGCTCGGTCAGAAGGGCGGTAAGGTCGGCCTTAGCTTGGGGGGATAGTTGGCTGCCGATCTTAGCAGTTTTCATTGGGTTTGTGGGATCGATGAGAATCTCAACGAGCTCCTCCACCGGTTCGCCTCTGACCAGCTCGTCCTCATCCCGGGCGTCAAGTCCTTCAATGATCATGGCCTCCTTCAGCTTGACTTCCTTAAGTGAGGCGACATAACATTCCCTGGCTATGGTCTGCTCTCCCCGTACTGTCCCGACGCCCTGGTCGGTGGGAAACTTTATGGCGAGGTGGTAGGTTGAGGTGATAGCTTGGAAAGCGTTGAGAGCGATGCGACCAAGGATGATGTTGTAGGCAGAGGGACAGTCGACCACAAGGAAAGTGAGCAACTTGGTAGTCTTCCGTGGGCATTCGCCAATGGTGATGAGGAGATCGATGGAGCCGATGGAGGTCACCCGGTCACCAGTGAAACCGACCAAAGGGGTTTGGAGGGGAGACAGACTTTTCTCCCCAATTTTGAGCTGGCGGAAGCAGTTGAGAAATATGATGTCTGAAGAACTGCCGTTGTCGATGAGAACTCGTTTGACCTTATAGTTGGAGAGAAGGGCAGAAATGACGAGAGGGTCATCATGAGGATAACAGATGCCAGTACAGTCGACGTCCATGAAGGTGATGGGCTCTGTCCACTACTTGGGCTGTTTGGAGGGACGGTCTACCGTGGCCACTGCTCTGTTCGAGCCTTGCCTTATCTTCCTGAGCTCTGCCCTCTGAGCGGAGCGGGATGGTCCGCCACAAGCAAGGCCTCTAGAAATGACTCAGATTTCACCAACTGGCGGAGAGGGATTACCTGGGGGCCGAGGCTGTTGTGAGGGGCGGTCATGGCCTTGGTTAGGTTGGACTGGCTGCCGGGGTGGGGTACGCCGGCGGTTGTTCCTGAGGGGCTCGGTTCTTTGCCTCTGTTGTGGGCGGGAGTCCGTGAATCGGCTAAGACGCCCTTGACGAATGAGGGTCTCGACCTGATCCTTGAGGTTGATGCAGTCATCAATGTTGTGGCCATGGTCCTGGTGGAAACGATAATATTTGAACTGGTCTTTCCGGTTGGAAGGGGTCCGTGAAGGTAAGGGCCATTTGAGGGGGTAATCCCGTTGGATCTGGTGGAGGACTTGTTCCATGGGAGAATTAAAGGGCATGTACCGCTCGAACCGACCGGGCGGTCGGGTTGGTGCCGACCGGTCAACGCGAGGAGGTCGGTTGGTATATTGGGGTGTTTGGCTGTTATACTGGGTGTTTCTGGGTTCCGAGTCTTTTCTCTTTTCTCGAGGGGTCGGATTTTTAGATATTGGATCCTGCCGAGCGGCTAGTGAATCTTCGGCATTTATGTATTTCTGGGCTTTGGATAGTAGGGTTGCCATGGAGGTCGGGGGGTTTTTGGAGAGGGAGAAGAGGAAATCGGACGATCGTAGGCCGGCCATGAAAGCCGTGAGGATAACCTTATCGTCATTCTCCACTACTTGAAGGGCTTCGGTGTTGAAGCGGGTGACGAAGCTGCGCAGCGACTCCCCCTCGGTCTGACGAATGTTGAGAAGTTAGGTTGCAGGGCGGCGTTGGCGCTGGGCTCCAATGAAATGGCTGAGGAAGGAGTCGCTGAGATGCTGGAAAGTGGAGACAGAGTCCCCTGGTAACTGACTGAACCACAGTCGAGCTGACCCTTTCAGTGTTACGGGGAAAGCTCGACACATGATCTCGTCAGGGAAGGCATGGAGGATTATGAGGGTACGATAGGTCTCCAGATGGTCGACTAGGTCTGTCGTACCATCAAAGGAGTCAATGGTGGGCATCTTGAACTTGGCGGGCAAAGGTTTGTCCCGGATGGAGGCAACAAATGGTGAATTTGTCGTGGTAGAGGGTTTATGCTGAATATTCTGCATGACCCCTTGGAGTTGGAGCTTCATTGCTCGGAGCTCAGCGTCCTAGAGGGGAACGCGGTCACCATGGTCAGTCAATGGAGGCTGGACGCTGCTGGCCTCCCCTTCAGGGGCTGGTGCTACGACCGACGGGTGTGGGGGTGGTGGTGGATTTGTATGTGGGTGGGGAGATTGCAAACCTTCCAAGTTGGGTGGATGGAGTTGTGGAGCAGTATGGCTCGGGGCTCTTTCTTGGTTGGGGGAAATATCTGGAGGTGGTGGAGAAGGCATTGGAAGGTTTCTTTGGAGTAAAGCATTTATCAAGGCCTGATTTTGCTCGACTATGCGGTTAATGCTGTTGGTAAGCTCGATAAAATACTGTGGTGGGTTGTTTGGATTGGGGGGGTCGGCTTGATGGTCGGCAGCATTATTGTGAGAAGCCATGGATCTAGTCGTGACCATGCACTTTGACAGGTAGGAGAAAGAGGTTGTTGGAACGGGGTCTCCGGCGACAGTGAACACAACTGGCGCGAGGAGCAAAGCGTTTCCCACAGACGGCGCCAATTGTTGATACAGTTTATCCCAGTGAATGGAGCGAACTGGTCAAAGCTCCTCAAGCCCAAGCCCAAGCCCACCGGATATCCTGCAAACAAGTTCAACGGGGAACAGGGTAGTCCCCAGTGACGATCAAGTTAGGAAGGGAAGTAGAGTATATGGGGGGAGATTAGAGATAGAAAGCTTAACCTTTTTCTTGTTTACAACGTTCGCTTATATCCTTTGGCAATCATTTCGCTGTTCCTTCCGACCTATTCTCCTCGCCGAAAGCCTATGCTGTAGCTTACCTTGCTCAGGGTAAGGGGGTCCTGTTCCGGCGGAGAGGTGTTGTCGTAATAAATGCTGTGATGGGCTGTATTAATGGTGATGTGTAGTGGTAATAACTTTGCAGATCTTTGTCTGCTGATGTGGCTCGTCCTTTTCTTACCGTATGTCTGAATGTCATTGGCTCTTTATGTCATGTTAGACTCCAGCTGTCCTAGACCTCACCAGTTGGGTTATGTACTGGGTTTCAAGTGATGGGCCATAAGTGATTCGTGGCCTTTATGAATTTATACATGTCAAAAGCAAACATAAAATAATTGATTAAAAATATGTTATATTCTTTTTTCTATATGCACAATTTTTTTTTTTAAATCACAATTCACATGTATATAAATAATTATAAACACAATCCGTACATAATAAGATATTTTAACTTAATTTTAAAAAATAAAAAAATAAAAAGGTCGCGTAATCTATACTAATATAAAAGTCCCTGCTATAAATATCCGTAAAAAACAAAGCATACAAAATAGGGGAGGCTTCTCCAATTAGATATTGGAGAGTTTAGTTGAGATCGGTAATATGTAAAATTTATTGGTTATTTTATTTTTATGAAGTTTTATTGATTGAATATTAATAATAATTTGATTAGATTACATTTGTATAAATTATTTATTTTAAAAATTATATCTATTATTAATACAAATATATTAATTGATTGAATATTAATAATAATTTAATTAGATTACATGTGTATAAATTATTTATTTTAAAAATTATATTTATTATTAATACAAATATATTATAATTAAATAATTATCAATATTTAATTAACATAATTATATATAAAAATTAAACACTTGACCACACCTATATATTTAACGATTTAAATTAACGATATCGATGCGCAGCACTCGTCCAATTTAAACCGGAGAGAAGCTGTGCCTAAAAAATAATATATACTCCAATTATTTTTTGCGACCATCTCCAATTTAAAAATCTCCGTCGATATCTGATTAAAAGGTACAGATTAGAATCTCTCTCTCTCTCTGTTTTCTCTCTCTGTTTCGACGGTGGAGGGGTTCGTTTTAGGGCGAAACAATCTGAGAGCTTTGCAAATATGGCGCCGCCAGCGTTTGCAGCAGGAGATGGTGGTGGAGGAGCAGTGGCAAGGCCGCAGCAACAGCAAGGTTTTGGGCAGACGATAACAGGAGTCATAAGAATAGCGGTTTTCTGGTACTTCGCTTCCAAATTCTTTTCTCCCAAGAAGCCCATCGAGCCTGCTCTTCAGATCTCTAACATCTTCCAGAAGGGCGAATCGCTGGTTCTTCTTCTTCTTCTCAATCTCTCTCTCTCTCTCTATATATATATATATATGAATTTTTTGATGATATTGTGATCTTTGTACTGTTTTAGTAGTTCACTATCCTCTTTATTAGAGGATCACAATTGAAAATTTACAGTTTTTATATATCAAAAGTAGTTCAAATTGAAAATTAGGTATGAAAAACCTACTTATGTGGTGTGGGTTCATGAAGGAATTCTCTGATTCTATGTAAATTTCTCTGTCAATCTTGGATATAGTTTGATTGTATTACTATAATTAGCTTGTACAACATGGAATCACCTGTGGGTGTTCTTGAAAGCGGCTGTTACACAAGGACCTATGGTTGTTCTTGAAATTGATAGTTACACAAGGATGATTAAAGAATAAGAAAAGACGTGTGTGACAAAATTTAAAGCGTTCATACTAAGGCTATGTTTGGGAAGTGGCTAAATTAGCCAAAACGACACTAAAAAACAGGACAGAAATTCAAATTTTTTTAAAAAAAGGTCAATAATTCCTTTTCATAACAGTCTTTGCTTGAATGGCAAGAGTAGAGTAAATTAGGGGAGATGGACTGGATTGAGTAGGAAGAGAATTTAAAATCCCTCAGTGGGCTTTTAGAGGACATTGTTGGTGGAATGCTTCTAATCTCTTTTGTTAAAGCTTTTTAGTTTCATTTGAGATTTAGCAGGTTGAGTTTACTTATTTTGGAACTTCGGATTATTGACTCTTCAAAGGAACAATGCCTTAGCCTTAGGTGCTGAAATACATGCGTATGCATTATATTCTTTTAGATATTACGACTGGCCTTAAAAATTTAATGGACTAAGCTTGCATAGTTTTCATCTGCCTACTTTCGTGGGCAAAACACATATGCACATGCATATATGCATTACATATATATCTCATTGGATATGTGACAGAAAAGTCCATTTGTGCTCATATATGAGAAAAGTATAGTGAGTTTTGAAGAAAATTTGGACTGCATGATGATTTGAGGTTAACCTTTCCACTGATGATGTCCTATAGAATGTTCAGGTTTACTGCTTATACTGGCATATTTTGCTTTCTTGTTGTTTGTAATTCAGTCTAAACTTGCAATTTTTACTTGTGTTCAGGATATGTGGTTTTATCTTTCTGAACATGAAAAGTTCAACGACTTTGGTAGTGAAGGTGCACTTGTTTGGCATGAGACAAATATACCTTATGCTGTCTGGGGACCAGAGAGTACAAGATCTTTGTCTTTCATGTATTATCCATCTGAGGTATCTTATGTATGCAGTAAATATTACTTGTTATGTATTATTTAATTGCATAACACTTTTGATTTTATACCTGCACATGCATGAGATTCTTTGATCACCTTTGGAATGGTTTGATTGTGTTTGTTTTTTATTTCATAATCAAGCTTCTTTTGATTATTCCACCCCCAGGCTTTGAAGCACAATGGCAGTCTTTATGCTCACGTTTTCTTTGCTCAGTCTGGTTACCCACCGGACCCCAATGATCCAGAGTACCAGCCATTGGCTGCTTTCGGCAGGACGCACCGTAAGATTATTTTACTTTTTTCAACTTCAGATCAATCCTTATTGATGTGTAAATATCAATCACTAATAAGATCTCCTCTTTCCTTGATATCAGCTGTTGTTACATACCTGCCCAAGTCAAAGACAGATAAACGGAAGAGCTTGTTGGGAAGTTCCAAAGACTCTAGTGAGGATGCAGCGGTGCCTGAGGTTTGTCCTTGTGTAAACTGATAGATAACCTATTGGTGTTTGCATTATGGATACATCAATATTCATAATTCTAACTTGTAGTGTTAGATAAAACTTCTCTGATCCCATCAGTTTCTTTCAACCTCCCCCCCCTCTTAAATTTTGTCAAGTATTAGACTACCTAAGTATTTGCAATTGATACTTGACTTCTTCACTGATGTAAGAGGCAATCTTTCTTAGTTTACTGTAGGTGTTAGATGAGGCCATCTTTATCTTATTTTACTACCAATTTAGTCAATAAATCGAGGGGCTAGGTTCCATTCGTCATTACGACAAGTTCTTTAACCATACTAACAATTGGCCTAGACTTGGAGCAATATATTTTGTTTATGGCAGTATGTGGTGAAAGTCTTAAGTTGATGATGTGATTCAAACAATATATCAAGAGGGAGGGAGGGAGGGAGGAGGGGGTATTTAATTTATGCAATATTTTTTTTAGATATGCTAGTTGAGAATTTTGTTTTGGACCAATATTGTCTTTTAAATGGTTCATGTTTGGTATTAGGGTTTGTCAAATTTGCAGTGATATGTATGCATGGACACAAATGTATTTTAAGCATCATAGAAACATAGTTGTAGTTGTATAAAAAGGCAGATGCAGTTACCCACTAGTCCTGCCTATGCAGGGTGCTGGCAGGGCGGATTCACATTATTTGCTCGAAGTGACTATGACTTGAACTGGAACTTTCACAGTCAACAGCTATACATCTAATTGCACCAAAGCAGTGGCCCCTAAATGTTGTACACATGTACAATAACAAATTGGATTTCCCTCCGAAGGAGAAGTCCGGTGACAACACCAAGCTCAGGCCTTCAAGCGTCAAGTCCAGACTTGAGCAACTTTTTCGTTCCTCTTTTTCGTGAATTGCCTCTGAGAGCTATTTTGCAACAAAATTTTCCTAGAAAATGGCTGAAGTGGTAACCTTGGGGGTTATCGCAAGAGGAAAATCTTTTAATGCGATAGGCACCATGCTCTTGCATTATCTTAAAAAAGACAGCAAGTACACATTAGGACAATTAAACTTTATATTTGCTTTATTGAAAGAGAGTTTGTTGTTGACTAATTTATGATACTTGAATATGTGATTTGCATCAACTGTATTTGTCAAATGGTGTTCAATGTCATGTATTGAAATTTTTATTTTTTCACGTCGTGTGTTTAAGAGTGTTTGTTTGGGCTTTTCTGAGCCAACTTATAGCTTCTGGCTTTTGAAAAGCTATTTTGAACTGTTTAGTTAAACTTCTTTCAAGCAGCTTCTGATTCTAACAACTTATTTTAAGTCAAAAAAGCTGATTCTAAGAAGCTGCTCACTCCTTGCTTCTGATTATCAGCTTCTGCTGTGGACATGTTAATTTATGGTTATACTCTTAGATTTTTTTATTTTTTATTTTTTTAAAAATAGGAAGAGACTCAAATGTACTATAGAATATTATTATTACTCTTTATGAGAAATGTAGATAAGTAGTGAATAATAAAAAATAAAAGTTAATTGAAAAAGCTACTCCACACCTTATTTAACAAACACTACTTAGCAACTTAAATGTATAATTCAACAGTTACACCAAACAGATTAACAGCTTCTGATTAAAGTCATAATTTATAATCTATTAAGCTATAATCTATAATCTGTTTTAACAGCTACACCAAACGGGGCCATTGTGTCATTAGATACATTTGAAGTTGTAGTATAAATTAATAAAATACAATCTTCTTTGGTTTAGTTGTGTTTCTTTTTTTGCCTAGATTTTTTGTAGAAGCTTTTGATCTGAGTGAAGACTTGTTTTGATTGCCTCAGGTGGTGGACGAAACTCGAGATGATTCTGAAGATGATGGCCCTGTGGAATGGGTGTCATATTGGAAACCAAACATTACAGTCAATTTGGTTGAGGATTTTACAAGGTATATTTGTCAGAACTGGTCCATAGTTTTCTGTAAGAGCTTGAAATTTATTCTTGCATTTTTTTACCTTGATGATGCATGACAATCATAGAAGACATTAGAGTGGGCTGTCTTGTGACGGAGATATGGGTAAGATAGGTTTGGGAGAGGAATGAAGAGCGAGAAGAGAGCAGGGAAGGTGGAGGGAAAAATAAAATTGAGGGGGTCATAGGAAATAGAGGAAGATAAGAGGAGGAAGTACTTGAAGGGTGTAATTAATTGAAGGAAGTAGAAGAAATATAAAGATGACAGATGGACAAAGATAGACTGGTCATTTTTTTTTTTCTTACAACACTTGTTACTACCAGCTGAGAATATAGAATACTGATTAATTTATTCATTTAGTAACATAACATCTTGAAAAGAAATTACTGCTTTGTGTAGAGCCTTTTTGGCCTAAGAATGTTACACGAGTGTGCAATGCTTGCTCATGAGGAAGTTTATTATTAAGGTCTTGTTTGGGAAGATGTAATTTTAGCCAAAAAGTCACTAAAAAAGTCAAAAAGCCAAAAGGTTTTCAACTCATACAAGAAGGTTCCTTCCCATTCGCTCCACTTTTTGCACGTTTTTTCATAAAAAGCCAAAAAGTCCTTCCCAAACATTTTGATTTTTTTCACCTCATGTTTTAGCCAAGAAACCACTAAAAAAGCCACTTCTGACGGGCCCTAATTATTACTTTTTTGTAAATACGCGATGCGAAGTAACCTACGCGGGGTAAGATGAAATGCGTGATGCTAAGTAACCTACTTGAGGAGGTTACTCTATGTTGAACCAAGACTTCTAGAAAAGAAACCCAAGGGATCATTTGATCAGGTTGTCTTTTTCTTGTTTTCTATTTACGTAAAATTGGAAACAATTAGTGGTTGTTTTTGTAAAAAACAAAAACAAAAACTATTCGCTAAGAAGCATAGACATGGACACGACACTGACACACCAACACTAAAATTTTTCAAAAATGCAAGACATGACACGCCTGGGGCATGCTATATTCTTACAAATTTATTATGTGCCATATATGTGAATAGTTTATTGAAAGATATAATGAATTATAACATAACATTAGTTACATTAAGAAGTTATATGTTTTACAACTTAAATATTTGAGATATCATATATGTAACAATTACATTCTAAAGAATACAAAACGTTTATAGAATATTATAATGCACATGATAAATCCATTTTACAAATGTTGAATAATTTTTTTTTTGAAAAATGCAAAACATTGTTATTATGAAGGGATTCATCACATAAGACGTGCTTGGAAGGTTTAGGAAGTGTCAGTAAAGTGTCCAATATTATAAATTTTATTTTTTAATTAAGACATGTTGAAGAAGTACCAGACACACTTTTAGGAGTGTCCAAAGAGTTGTAGGACATGAGATGCTTCCTTCGTAGGAGTGTCCATGAATCTTAGGTCCCAATTATTTGGGGTTGGCTACATGGATCCATTTCTTAATTTAGTTCTTCTATTTGAACCCAAACCAAGAAATAAACTAAAATAAATACAAACATTTTTAAATAAATAAACAATCTTTTGGAAACATTGGATTAAAATTCTACCTTTTCTCTTAACTATGGCATTTGGCATCTTTAGGAGCTTCATTTTTGGGTGGAGTTGAGTAGGCATTTTGGGATTAAAGCTTTGGCAATTCGAAGGTGAGAGAGATGTAGGGATTAAGTTCGCTTGGTGTCACAAGGCATTTCAATACACTTAATTGTTCTTGAGCTGTTTTTAAAGGTTATACAGGAATCGACCTTGCAGTCTATGAATGGTATTTGGACTTGTCCAAGAAGAACAAAGCCATTCTAGCATCATGTACGATGCCTTAACAACATTGAACTAGTTTGTGAAAATAAATGAGGGATAAAGATGATGTGGAAAGGACGATTAACTGAGGAAATGCAACCATATGAACATTAATTGGGAAACTGGGCAAACAGAAAAGTTTTCTTGAAACAAAAAGAAGTTGCAATGTTTGTCCATGCTAATTGAGAGTGCTAAGAGAGCTAAATTTGGTATAGAGCTGCCTTCATTTTTTGCACAAAATGGCAACTCTAAGATTTGAACCTGTGATTATTTATTAAAAAAAGATTTAAACCAGTGATGTCAAGGATTTTGTAAAATGAAGAGGGTTGTAATTTGGCGGTATCGTGGTATCGTTAGGAGGACAGGGAAAATAGGAGTGTAGGGTTTGGAAATAACTCAAAAAGTCAACAAAAGCCAGTCCCTCCAGCAAATTGATTTCACCAATGGACGGCTCAGCTCAGGTATCATGAATTTTCATGAACTGAAATGCTATCACGTGATTCAGCATTATTCAGTCATCAAATGTGTTTAGTTATTTATTTATCCTTGTCTTTGTGTCAAGTGCTTTATAAATTAGAATTGCCTACATTGATAAAAGGAGGATAAATTATCTAAAATAACAGATTGTATGTAAGTTGACTATAGATACAGAACTTCACCAACAACACTGATGCTTGTATCCTGGTGTAATGATATATGTACTAAATCATTATAAATTAGCTTTTGCTCATGAATCAAATTTTTTTTCTTAGCTGGTAAGTTGCAATTTTCAAGCATGTTTCTATTTTTTGTTTTACCCCTTAGTGAAATTTATATTAAAAGCTTATTTTGTGATCTTAGCTTCTATTGTGGCAATTTACTGAGGACAATGATATAGCTATGCACTCATATGCTATTTAAAGTACTTAACCCAGCTCGTTTCAGTTTTTATGGTATGCATCTTCATTCACTTGCTAATTTTGGCAATCATCTGCAGGTATCCAAAAAATGCCGTTCCACCAAATATAGATCCTTGTATCCTTCGGTTTCTTGTTCTTCGTCTGTATTTACTTGTGAAGTGTTGATTTGAGTTTGCTAAAGAGGTTTATTGGATATTTACATTTTGTGGAGCCCATTGTAAAAATGAAATTTTGAAGTAACCTTCATTCAATGAAGCGTATTTAATACAGTATTTATAAAACTAAACCAGCAGTGAACTGAAAATAAGACTTGAGCATAATTAATTAGATTATTGAGGGGTTCCAAATGGACCTGTATGGAATTTTCATCTTGCAGCTTCTCTTATTAATACTAATTGTTATAGTATAAAAAGAAGGGCAACTTAGTGCCAGAGGCTCCGGCTAGAGATTCCTAAAAAATACAGGCATTGGGATAGTAAATGTGCCCCATATCCATGCAGAGTTCTCAATGCTACTCTGATATTGTGGAAGAATGAATAATAACTTAGGGTGTCTGGACATGAATTTCAAATTCTTTTCCAGGGAGTTGGCATGACTTGTAGATCTTGCAACATGTCACGTCTGTTCAACTTTTTTGGATGACTCTTTCTAAGTGACATGTCTGTGAGATAGCAGTATATGTGATTCTACATGCATTTTTATGCATACATGCTATTTGTTTGTAGTTCTTTGATTTTAATATGCCCCCACAAATCCAGAAGGGAATGTTTCAAAAAACTTTTCCTTTTGCCAAGAGCCTCAAACACAATTGGTTCCTCTCTAGTCTTCTGCAGCATACTTTGCATTACATAATTTTGAGTTGATTGAGTTGCCATCTACTGAAGACACCTGTAGAGACAGATGAATATCCACGAGTGTGCTTTGTCTGATCTTTCATGTCATACAATGTTTACTTGGGCCATGCCATGTTGCATGTATATTTTTTCTTTTACCTGTCTCAAAATCTCATTGGTAATATGGGTTAGGATTTGTTGCAATTAGTACTGACTTATTTCTGTCAAGACTCATGTTATGACAACCCATCAGTGTTTGCTCTAGCTAGTATTATAATTACTGTTGGGAAAAGATAATTAAAATGAGCTAGCTTGTACGAGTTTGTTTTATACTTGGGCATATAAATACAACAGACTGAATGCTTTATAAAATTTTCTGTGTGCATAATGGTTATGTTGCTAAATATTATTGATTTCTTCATTTTTTACACTATGTTTGGATTGAGGGGAAGTGCATGACTTCTCCTTGTTTGGGCTTTTAATGAGGAAAAAGGTCAAAAGGATAGTCAAACCCCATTTTATTCCACTTTTTGTTCACCTCTGAAATTTGGAGGTTTTGGAGGGGAAGTGAAGGGGATTTGAGTGATTATCGATTTTGCTTCCACCTCTATATATACCTTTTTGTACTCATAATAATAAAATATTACTCCATTTCCTTCACCTACCTTTCTCCTACAAACAATATTACTTCCCGTCCCTTCCTTTTCGTTCCCTTTATTATCCAAACAAGAGGAAGAGTAACCATTCGCTTCCCCTGCCTACGCTTTTTATTTTTATTTTTTTTCCTTCCATCCAAACATAGTGTTAGTGCTTTTTATTATTATATTTCTAGAGTTATCACCTTGATTTTGTCTAGGCCACTTTTGGAACCACTTTTCTTTTCTTTCTTTCGTTCTTTTTCTTTTTTTTAGCCCCCATTGCCTGTTTGCATTTTGTCGAATTAAGTCATTGTAGTGTTGAGTTTTCTTGACTTGAGATTGCAGACTTGAATATTGAACCTAAAACAGGGAACTACTATCCAACCATTTTTTTCAATGAGTTTTGGTTACTTAGAAATAAGTTAATACCAATAAATGATTCAGTAACTGAGTTGACGCTGAATCTCGAAGTGGGTCCAATAAGCATGACCAAGTGGCAGCTGTTCCTGCAGATTGATCAATCCTTCCAGATTCACCGTAGTTATGGGAGTATGCTTGAAGGCGAGGCTGATGAACTTAAGGTATTACTTTTTCTTTGAGCATAAGAAATCTCTCTGGCATGATGTAAATAGGAAGCTTTGAAGAAATATGTACTTCTGGATTTTAGTTCTAACTTTTGTTTTGGAAATCAAGCAAATACATAATATTTGCCAATCAGTCTTTTAATTTCTCTAATAGTTGAAGGGAACTTATTCAGTGCATATAAAATGATGTTGCAAATTGAAAGGAGATTTTCCAGAAACTTTGAGATATATCGATTAAGTTTAGTTATGGGATCAACCATGCACTATAGTACACACGTGGCTTATTTTTCATTGTAAAGTTGCTAAGCGGACACATTATTTTATCTGATGGAAAAGTTTTACTATTTTAATTCTAAATATTTTATCTTTCTACTTTGACCGACAATCTTTCTTAGTGCTTGAAATTTTCCTGTTTCTGCATTGGGAAAAGTGGTAATGTTGAATTGAAATCTAAGAAGCATGGATATGGGTATGAGTATGGGCCCATATACAACACGATACATAAAATTTTCCTGTTTCTGCATTGAAAAAAATGGCAATGTTGAATTGCAATCTAAGAAGAATAGGTACGGGTATGAGTACGAACACACACACAGATACAGCATGATACATACATGCACATTTTTGAAGTTAAGAACTAGCTACTTCTTTAGAATATGTTCTAAAATGTGATCCTTGTATGGTTTGGTTGTGATTTTTTGTTGTTGGTCTTGCTTCTTTTTTGGTTCTGCAACTATTATGCATGTTCATACAAATGTGTATACATGTTTACTCCAATTCTGATTTATTTATTCTTTGTTTTAGAGAGTATTCTTGGAAGGGAATCCATACCTTTTGGTGATTACAATGATTGTCTCAGTATTTCATTCCATATTCGACTTCTTGGCATTTAAGAATGGTAATGGCAATCATTTGTGCATCTTCTATGATGATCTTTATGGGAATTATAGCTTGTTAATTAATTTTTTGTTCTTTACAGATATTCAATTTTGGAACAAAAACAAATCCATGGAAGGACTATCTGCAAAGTCAGTTATTGTGAGCTTCTCATGTCAGCTTATTGTCTTCCTCTACCTACTTGACAACGATACTTCGTGGATGATACTTGCAAGTTCTGGAGTTGGTTGCTGCATTGAGTTCTGGAAAATTGGGAAAGCCATGCACATTGAGGTATAAGTTCAATTATGCAATGATGTTCAGTTAAAATCTTATAGAAATGTTTGGCAGTGTAAATATATTTTGTATACTAGATTATATATTTGTTGAACAAAAAGTTTTGAATCTTATATGTATATTATGAAAACTAAGCTGACAATTTCCATTACATCATTATCCATTATATCTGTTCGTTACAATTTCTGAGGAAGAAATGAATCAACTTCATCAACCTGCTACCATAGGCACTTCGTTTTATTTTACATTATTTTTTTCCCGGTACCATGCCTGCGGTTAATCTCGTCATCAACCATAATTGTCAATTCAGCGTTGTACTGAGTAATAGTTTATTAGTTTTTATATTGTGTACCTTACCATATAGTATTTGGTAAGCTTTTAATATCAAATTGAGAGAAATAGAAAATGACATACTAAAATTATTGGACATTTGGGAGATTAAATATACATTTTTTATTTGCTTATCAAATTAAGTATCAAATAGTTATCTTCATATGCTTATTACTGGACATTGTTATTATTATTTTATTACTTTCTAAACCTTGTTCTGTTTGAATGTAATGCCTTTAGGATCATAGTGATCTTTGGTTGCCATTAACATCTGTTTCTTGATTTTAACCTCTGATGTATAGACCTCCTACAGATTCAGTTATTCAAATTGTTGTGCTGTCGTATACATTAAAAATCGGTTTTATGTTTCCTTTTTATTTTGTGTTTTTGCGATTCTCTCATGTTTTCCACATATCCCATTTTTAAATAATTCTCCGAAATAAAATTTTATTCCTTTGTAGTGAGGGAATTCAACAACCCCAAGATACCCAAGAGTGACTGTTTTCGTTGTCTCTTGACAACTGCAAGGAGATTGAAATTGAAGATGCTGTCGTCATGAAACTGTATCCCGTTGAACTAGAGGTGTCTCCATATTAAATATCTTCTCCAAGGGACATTCAAGATCTTAAGGGGATAAGCACTTAAAATTTGTATTAGCACAAGTGCTAGGAGAGAGAGGTCAAGCTTTTATGGTGTAGAATGTTGGGTAATTAAGAAACATGTTCACAAAATGATTGTTGTTAAGATGTGTGTGTGGCAAAACTATGATAGAATTGGAAGTGAATGATTCATGAGATGGTAGAGGTATCACTTATTGAAAATAAAATGAGGGAAAACTTGATTAAGATGATTTCGAACACCGAAGACCAACAAATGCACCTAGTAAGAAGCATGACATTGGCCATTTTGAGGGTAGTCCTAGGATACAAGGGTGATTGAAATTAACATGGGTTGATATAATAGTGGCAGGCTTGTTACCTTGTGGTTTGATTGAAATCGTGGCTCTTGATCGAGCAGTATGAGCAAAATTAATGCATGCGACCTCAAATACTTGGGACAAAGGTTATACAAACAGCACATGGTTTCTCTCTATCATATATGCTGAGAATGTTGTATGAAGTTAAAAATATAATTAGTTATATACAGTAACTGTATATATTCATGGACTTAGGTCTTTGCACTAATTAAATCCCCTTGGATGAATCTCTAATGCTTAAACCTGTCCCCGGAGTATATGATTCTGAGTAACTGAATACAGTAATAATTTCCTGGAATTTTATTTTATTTTTCACGAACAGGTTGATATGCGCTTGTGTGAATTTAGCTGTGATCATATCGGGACTGCCTTCCTAGCATTGTATCTACATCAATGCCCAATTTACATATTCAAAATGCTGTCAAATTTGATAAGCTTTTTTATTTTTTTTCTGTGAATATGTATTTGTTTATGTTCTCTTCCAGATTGATAGGTCTGGGAGGATACCTATGTTGAGGTTCCGAGATCGTGAATCATATGCCGGGAACAAGACAAAGGAGTATGATGATCTTGCAATGAAGTATTTATCCTATGTTCTCTTCTTGCTAGTTGGCTGCTCTTCCGTTTACTCTCTCATGTACGAACGCCACAAGAGCTGGTACTCTTGGATTCTCTCTTCACTTACAAGCTGTGTTTACATGTTTGGTAAGCCCCTTGAATTCCCTTCATTGCCTCTTATTGTTATTTTTGTGTTTTTGGGCATCTGTTTTTTTTGTTTTAATTTTAACATGCAATATTTGTTGAATTCCCTTCATTCCCTTATTTATTGCGAGTAAAGTTAAAATTTTACTCAAGGGAATGAAAAAATAAATTAGTCCAATAACCTAACAACTTGAGATCTTGGGCATCATTTGTGTTTATTTGAAGCCTCTAAGTTTATTGACAAGTTTGTGCAATCAAACTTGACTATCTACCCTCCAATGACAAATCTTCTTATAGATATGTGATTATTGGTAAGAAATTGACAATTTGTTTTGTTATTTTTTCTTTTGATATTGTTTTGCAGGTTTTATTATGATGTGCCCTCAACTGTTCATCAACTATAAGCTGAAGTCTGTGGCCCATATGCCCTGGAGGCAGATGACATACAAGTTTCTTAATACCATCATTGACGATCTATTTGCATTTGTCATAAAAATGCCTATATTGCATCGGCTTTCTGTCTTCCGTGATGGTGAGTTATGGTCAAAGAAGTGTACTTTATACTCAAGTATCACACGTGTCATGTGCAGAGTGTCCAAATGAGGTTCTTTAAAAGAATGCTGCTGCAGCTATTTTCTAGGAATTCTTGTTTGTTCTTTTTATTATTATTTTTTTAATAATAGGGTTATTAGGGATGTATTCTGAAGTATTATCTCTTTCAGCGTGATTAGACAGTGATCATGAGGTAGTAGGTAGGCAACTTTCTCCCCACTTTTTTGGCGGAGGTGCTGATTGACTAACTCAAACTTGCACCACACTAGGAGCATTTGGCATAACTTGAACTTGCACCACGCTGCACTAATGTCTACTTAGAGCTTATAAGGCAGAAATTGCTTAGACAAGTTGATTTTTTTTTTTTGATTCTTGGGAAGCGGGGGGAGATAGGTACTTTTAGCTTACTAGAAGCTGCACCAAACAGGCCCTTTGGGCTTTTGTTCAAACCTTTCAGCTGGTACACAGAAGGGGCAGTGAGTGCACCAACGTGCCCATAGAGTACATATCTCTGTTCTTTGAGAACTTCTGGGAATGATAATACTCTCCGCCCTTGTGATGGTCAATTAGTCACGGCAAAGTTACGCCATATATTTTTATTTGTTGGTGTGGATTCTTGTATTTTTGTAATCTATATTTTTATGCTTATTTTTTTTTTCTTCTCTCTTTGTGCCTTTGCAGATCTTATCTTTCTGATATATCTGTACCAGAGGTGGGTATATCCAGTGGATAAGAAACGGGTAAACGAGTTTGGTTTTGGTGGTGAAGATGAAAACCAGGCTTCTGCTTCTGGTTCTACTTCTACAGATGTAACAGCTGTTACAGAAGAAGAAAAGAAAACAAACTGAGATGGGTTTGATGTGATTCATTTCGGATTACACAGCAGAATCTGTAAAATTCAGTTAGGAGAAAATTATCTCGGGCATTTTTCTTGGTTTTTTTTTTTTTTTTTTTTTTTTTTTTTTTTTTTTTTTAAATGCAATCACGGAAAATCTCTTATTTGATGCTGAATTTTCTAACACATTTTATTATATTGTAATATGGGGGTACTCTTCAAAGGTGTCCTGGTTATGACCCTTTGAATAATTTTTTAGGGCTGAGCAGGAAAAACATATTTTTATGGGATTTTGTTCAGTTTTTGTAGCACTCTTTACTTTTAATATGCAATTGATTGATTAGTGATACATACAAATGGTGATTTCTTTCATTCTGTTTGTCTTTTTTGTAGTCTGCAAGTTCTATTGTGGTTAAATTACTGGTTTCTAAACATTTGGATTAAGAATTCAAGTAGGAATTTGTAGAAAGGACGAACAAAGGGAGAAATTTTATCTCAAATGCTTGATCCAAATACAACCACTTGAGCCGTAAATTTGAAGGTCTAGTGTTTAACTTATGTCGGGAATATCTTGGTAAACACGTTTGATTTTTGGATTACCCACATCTAAAGCAGTCCAATTGAACTACTGCTCTTTTTCAAGGGAAATAGTGCTTGCAACAAAAATCAAATTATAGTAAATTTTCCCTCATTTCTCGGTTGCCCCCGGTTAATGCTTAAAAAAGAAGGCAACACGTTACGTGAGCATCATCATATGACATGGTAAATGAGCTTTTGTGACTAAAACATGTCCCCAAATTCATTTATCTCAAAAGAATCCCACCAAAAAAAGAAGAACTAATAGCGGATCAAACCACTAAACTAAACAATCTGTTAAGGGACGAGCACATGTTCTTTCACTGGCGTCTTTCACCTTTCCAGACTAAGGCCATTAATAGATCTTATACTAGGAACAAGGATTTAGGATTGGTTTAAAAATTTATCCTTGATTTTTTTTTTTTTGGAAACCAAATTTATCCTATATAATATACAGCACAATTACCAAAAGTAGCTAGAATGTATCAAAAGTAAAAAAAACATGCACTAGAATGAAATAGAGACGAATAATTACCCCCATCAAAATATTTATTTTTATATTTGGTTGACTAAAAAATTAATGAAAAACAATCATTAAACACTATTGTAAGAAAATGATCATTCTACTCCATAGAGCTTACATTAGTTTAAATTACTCCAATTTTTTTCTAGGATGGGAAAATATATATATATATATATACAGTTTAAAAGGTCTCGTGCCAGGCACAAGTTACTATTACAGTACATTTAAGCTTTGTATTTTGATAATTTTTTAAAAGTTAGAATATTGTTCTATGAAATTGAATAGAATAAATTATTAGATATATGATAAAATTACGTGGCATGATCTGTATCATTCTTTTAATTTGTTATACACCTAATGATGTAGACTCCAATAATATTATCATATCGTTTTGGATGAATTTATGAGTTTTTAACATTTCTTTTGAATTTACAAAAAAAATAAATTATGATGTGTATATTTTCTTAACAGATAAATAAAAAACAAATACTAAGATAATTCTCCTATCTAAAAAAAAAACTACTAAAATAATTCAATGAACTAATTAAGAAGCAGAAGAAAATACATACATATACAAATGACTAATTTTATTAATATATAAATTATACTCGCATAACAAATGATTAATTTTATTAATAAATAAATTATTAAGTAAATCAACAATTTTTAATGATGGAAAAATAATTTTCAATTAACCATTTTGTTAATAAATAAATTATTACGTTAATTAACAGTTTTTAATGATATGAAAAATATTTTTCAATAAACAATTTTGATAATTTATTATTGCTTAGGAGAATAACTTCTTTTTTTTGTCCCCTGTACTGTGTTAAATTAAAATTTATAACAAACGATAATTATAATTTCTAGTATTATAGAAGGTGTATTACTTTTCTCAATAGATAAATGTAAAACAAATACTCGGATAATTCTCTCATAAAAATAAATAAAAAAAAAAAACTACTAAGATAATTCACTGAACTAATATATAAACAGAAAAAATACATACGTATATATATATACAAATGATTAATTTTGTTAATACATTAATCATACTCCATAACAAACGATCAATTTCATTAATACGTAAATCATTAAGTAAATTAATAATTTTTAATGATATGAAAAATATTTTTCAGTTTATCATTTTGTTAATAAATAAATCATTAAGTCAATTAACAGTTTTTAATGATATGAGAATTATTTTTCAATAAATAATTTTGATAATTTATTATTACATAGGAGAATAGGGTTTTTTTTTTTTTTTTATAAAACCGATTCATATTTTAAACAAACCTTATTTATAATTTGTTAAAAAAAAAAAAATCATGTTTCATAATTAACCAATAATAATTGCATAATTACAAAAAAAATGTTTCATAATTGACCACAAAAATTTACATAATTACGAAAAAAACTGATACATAATTAACCAAGAAAACCACCATTAGTGAATTATTCAAAATAAAAAATGAAAAAAAAGAAGATAAATCTCAACCAGCTATATACATATATATATATGAATACAACTTCAATACAATGTATACTACCATAAGGAACATGTGACCTACAGCATTCACAGTATTGCTGCCCAAACAATAGCAGAAGTACCTAGTATCATGTAAGTATAACCACATGGAACAGTCAAACACAAAATCACATTTTTAACTTTATAAATCTAACCAAAAAATAAAAATAAAAAAAACAGACAATAAAAAAAATGCTGCAGTTCAAAGCTCATGCACATGCACAACCAAATACTTAAAATCAAAATCTCAAGATCTAATAGAAAACAACTTGCCTTGAGCCAACAAGCTATACGATATGATGTATAAATGATGTGCAATACTGAAGACCTTCATCATGAAAATAGGCAGCCAACAAGCTAATCAGCATCCATATATTTGATATGATATGCAGATTACGAAAATTTTAATCAAGGAAACATTTCATTCATCAAGCAGAAAACTAAAGCCATAAGAGCAGAACTTGTAAATGTAAAGCCCTGGTAGTAGACAAGCTCCATGACCAGTTTTAGCTTCTATTTTGTATATTCTTTGAAACTATTGTTTCCGCAAAGTTGAGATCTTCAAAACTATCTGAAGTTTCTCAGTAATTTTGAGTTAAAAAGAGTGTGTTGGATGTGCTTTAGTTTCTCTCTCACTCTCTCATGTCTTACAGATCTTTGTCGTTGCCTTCCTCTGAGTGCTGCGGATTGTACTTGTCCATCAGCCGTTTGAGTTCAGCAGTAAGCTCGTTCTCCAGCCCAACCTCTTCCTCCCAATGCCTCCGCTTCATGGCAATTTTCTTATCTTCATGAATTGATATCAGTTTCTCCCTCTCTGCCACAAATTCTTCCATCTCCTTCTCCTGGGATTTGATGAATTCTGCTATCTCCTTGTCCCTATAAAACCAAAGCATGTTAAGCAAAACGGGGAAAAGGAAACAATTAGAGGGATAAAATATATGTTACCTTAATCTTAGAATAAGAACCTGTAAATAATTCTAGTTCACACAAACCCGTCATTCTCATGCACAATCAACCGGACACAAGACTTGCATGGTGGTATGCACTTACACTTGGGTAACATCTTTACAGCCACGATTGGAAGCCTACTTATAGATATAGCTGCGTAGCAGTAAATTATAAAAAGCCGAAAAATAGTCGGGCCTAAATGCATGCTACAAAACCCAAACAAGCTGCAAAGTTACCTTGGCAGCAGACTACTAAAGTACTTGAAATTATAGAACTTACTGAGAAAATGTACACAGCTCAATGTAAATCAGCAAAGCAAATTACCTCGTAGAAATATTTGCATTTGATTGTTTCACCTTCTCTCGCTCTTCTTGTTGTATCTTCTCAAAGTTGTCTTCTGTTTCTTCCCTAGCTTCATGAATGACTTTGAGCTGATCCTTGAAGAATTGTTCTTGAAAGTCCATCTAAGGAATTTTGAAAATGAAACAATCAAATGACAAGCACGACTAACAAGGGAAGAAAAAGTGAAATAACAGAACAACTAAGAAAACAAATTACTACCATCAAAGAAAAATTCCAAACTAGTAGAAAAATAAATTGAACAAAAGAAGAGTAATAATTAAAACTCATTGCGTCAAAGAAAGATATCAGGTTTATCTGTTATTTTACCTACTCGACACTCAATTGCAAGTCCACAAGAACTGCTGATAATAAATCACAAGACGTATTGCTGATATTAAATTACAAGAGGTACCAAACGAGCAGACGGACATTTCGAATCAGATACATAATGTTCATTTCAATACAGGAGAATACACAGCAGATTTATTTTATTTGATTTTTAAAAACCATCTTTTTCCATGTAATGTGTAAACTGGAAAATTTTCTTAAGTAAAATGATGCCGACTTAATACCTCTATTAACAAGAGCTTGAGATAACTGGATAGATATAACACAATAAAGAACTATTTATTCAACCCCAAAAGGAAAAAAACACTTCTATCAACATACACAGATACTAGGCTAACTTCTTCAACTTTTTCCTGAATTAACGCAGTATAGAATGCATGGTAGGACCTCCTATACTTTAGGAGAATAAGCAAAAATGTGAAGAATACATGATTAGATGAAATATGAAAATTCACTAAATGGTAGCTGTAGTGTGAAGGAAATCTTTTGCATAAAAACATAACAGAAGGGTTCAAATTGTAAAGTCATGTGCATGAAAGTGTGCCCAGTAAGTGAAAATAAAGACTACTGTGTTTATGCATGAAACAGAGAATTTAAAAATGTAGCATTTAATGGCATTTCAATCATCCACTAGGGCATCTAAACAAAATGGTTATAAGAACCTATTATCATCAAATAAATGTAGTAGTTAATTTGGGCACTTGAAAAGAAAGACAAACAATTCTAGTGGCATTGAGGGTTCTGGTTGCTATTATAATTGTCACAGAAACAAACGCCACTACCTAGGGCTATTGTAAAAGACCATGGCCCACATACTTCCCACAGCAACAGTGCACTACAAAAGTTCTAGAAACAACTATCACTAATCCATCTTATCCAGAAATTAGCCCTGGCACTATATTGAGTTTTGAGTTCTGTTATTACCTCTTCCTTGTTCTGTTCATGATGCATTTTGCTTCTCTGCCTAACAATGCGATTTTCCTCCTCTGTCTTGCGAAGCCTTGCCGTCACCAAATGAACAGTCTCTTGAAGAGCTTTCGAATGCATTTGCTCTTTAGCCACCTTATTCTTAAAAAAGATCAGCTGCTGATTATCTTCACCCATTTGCTTCATCTGGTTCACGACCATCTCCTGATATGATCTCAGCTCAAACTTCAGTTTGGATTTGCCTACTCAATCATGAAGCATGTCAAACAAAATGGGATATCAGTTATTAGAATACTAAATTCACGCACATACACATACACATGTGGGCACACACTCACACAGGGAGAGAGAAATAACCTTGGGAATGCTGATTGAAGATATCTAAGTCTCGTTTCTCTGCCATGTAACCATATAGTTGGCGCTTCCCACCAGGATAGAATAGGATTCGACAATGATCCCAAGCCTCCCTATCTGTTCCTTGTTCTGAGAAATGGTTATGAAGACGCTCAGACTCTAAATAACCAATTGGTGTCCCCTCAAAAATCAATACGCTCATTCCCCGGTGCCCCTGTGGACCATAGGAGTGTCGGGCCTTCTTTGCATCATATGAACTAAAGTAATCGAGAAGCTCCTGATTACCCATGCCTGTCCACTGCAAATACAATTTCAAAAGAAAAGTTCAACTATAATATCAAGCAAACAAATTTAGTTTAACAAAGAAAGTAATGCAGCCGGATTGCTTCTAGAAACGTAGACAGAAATTCAATCATATGTCAGCATCACGGGGAAACAAGCAACATTAACTGTACCTTTTCATTTTCATCCTGCTCAAGTATTGTGTTCATAATGACAACCATGGGAGGCCAAACTATCTCACGATCATTGTCAATCTCATTAAGACCTTTCCATTTACCGAATGCTTCACCAGCTGGTATGACTGAAGAACCCCGCCTGCGCAGCTCCTCATCCAAAAGTTCTGCAAATTCTCTATGGACCCTCACCCTCTTTGATCCTTTGGTCTTTGCATGCGTGGTGAGAGGCTGCAGACCTCGATACCAGTCAATTGCACCAGGACCATTTTGGCATGCCGGGCAATGCCACTGTCTAGCTGGTTCCATGATTTCTTCAACAGACAACTTATCCAAGATATCAAAGAAGGGCTTGAACCATCCACTCTTCTTGCGAGAGTCGTGGCTTTTCTCACTAGCATCAGAATCAAATTCATCACTTAATAGTTCATCGTCAGTAACAATTGCATCCGAGTCGTCATCATTGACAATCTTGTCATCATCATCATCATCAATAGAATGGGGATCCAAGTGGATCTCTTTTTTTCCTGTGCCATCTTCAGAGGACTCAGTAGAAGCAGCTCGTGCACGCCAGTTCCATCCATGTTCCAAAGGAGGAGGGACAACAGGTTGTGATGCAACATAGTTGTTTTCAAAACCTCTACTAGATGACTGAGGCCTCGGATTTCCTCTGCCAGCAGGCCTCCTAGGATCAGCATTAGGTGTTGGCCAGCTATTTCCACCATTACTCCGCATGCCTGACTTCTGAACCGCATCAGGATGTCCCCATGCTTTAGGATTGGAATTCTGTCCAACCCAAGATTTGGCAGCACTGCTTCCAGCTTTATTCTTGGGCTTCCTCACACAAACCTCCCATTTTCCATCTTGTGCAGAATCAAGGCTGACATCTTCTACACCCTGACTCAACTGATCCACCTTTGGGTCAGAGGCCTCAGATGTGCCTTTCCCCTTGGATGATGAGTCAGCAGTACCAGCAACAAATGGCTTTCCACCCCCTTTTCTTGAACTCATTGTAGTTTGCACTAACTTTCTGGTCTTGTTAAAAAAATTTATCTCAGATAGCAAATTTTACTAAATTAAGGCTCAATGAAATTGAAACTGAAGCCCAGCATAATTTTTTAAACTAAACAAAGGCAGCAAAATGCCAACAGCTTATCAGCTAGTACAGGCAGTATGCAGGGAAACATTCTGTGCATTTAACATAAATGTAATGAGGTACACAAAAAACATGCAGAGAGCAAAAAATAAATGGTTCATTAACATAGACTACACAGTAGATAATGATCAGAAACATATGGTGTTGTTCTTTGCTGGTGACCCAATAGAGCCACCAATATGCATCATAACTCCCATCAATCAATAGAAGCGAGCCACAGATAAGGACTTTAAAAAAAATGCAACTCTTGCTTTTGCTCTGAGAACAATGATTTTGGTAAGAGTTTTTATGTGCAACCTTAGGTAGAACTCAAAATCTACCATAAGGGAATGAAACAAGGCATAGCTGACAATTCAACCTCTGCATTTAACATAAATGTAACTCTTGCCTTGTGTCATTTGTTCTATGTTGTTCTCCAGGAATACCATCCAAATACCAACTGAACAACATAACTAGTAATCAACTATAATTGATCACATCAAATTACAACATATCACATTGTTAGTGTTATGACTAGCATTTTCATGACTTGTATATACTGTACGTAGAACCCAAGCCACTACCATTAAGAAAAGAACATTGGACTACCAACACCACCTTGAAAGTTTGACACGTTATGGCAGATCTTCATCAGCATGGAAAGAATGCTATGGAATAGCTTCACTCCATGAAAAAGGCTTTGGATGAGAAGAGGATCAAGTTACTAAAGCAAAGACTACAAAATTCTAAATTTGTCAGTTCAGTTGACAGGCTACCTTTATGTTCATCACTTAACATCTTGCCCTTAAATTTGTTATACATTTATTTTGTTTTGAGATGAACTTGACCCATGCTTGATTTTAAGATAAATGAAATTTAAATGCATATTTCAATAAGTGTGCTCTTGCTCTCATATGCCTTCCAGCAACTCAACCATGGCCAGAAACAAAGCAAACAAGACATAATAATCATGTAACGAAATTCAGCTAGTTTTGAATAGTCAAAACAATAATCTTAGAAAACATAATTAGAGGTGGGGTCATAGCAGAAGGTTTGTTTCCTCACAGAATTCAGCAGAGTGAAAAATTCACTGGAACATATATTTTGTTTCATTGCAAATGAGTACTCACATCATATTGTCCATGGCTAGAGGGAGAGATAGCGTCATCGATTGAAGGATGGATAGGGCAGCTTGGACAGAAGTCATTTGAGTTCATTCAAGATGGTGTGAGTGAGAAGTTTGTGCTGGTGGTAAAGAGAGGGTAGAGGCCTTAAAAGGACTCACAAGTTGCTGGAGTTCAAAGTGGTTTGGCTGGTTAGAAGTTAAAGAAGGAATCTTAGGGGCCTTGGGATAGGCATTTTTTCTGGGGAGCTTGAGGTGGGGAAGTAGAACACTTCAATGATAGAGGTTGTAAAACAGGTGGGGGAGGTTTGTAAAGGCAAGGGCGTGGTCTACGGTTAGTTAGGAGAGAGTTTGTATTCAAAAAATGAAATAGAAAATAAAAGTAAAGGAAAAAGAGAAATGAAATAGAAACTAATTTTTTTCTTTGAATGAATGTTCTATAAGATATTAGATTTTTGTGATATGACAGACAAGAATCGCTGGTAAATAATATCTAAGCATATAGAGGGGGCACAAAAGACGCTGGAAACTTAAATACAAGCTAAATAGGAGTCTACCATCATAAAGTATGAACTTCACAAGTCAAAAAAGAAAAAAGGCCAACATCTAAATGGAAAAACAAAATGTCATTGCCCTAAGCCAACAGAGACAAAGTCAATTTGATAAATCCAGATAAAAATTTAATTGTATAGTCATTAGGCAATAAACATGTCATCCATCTTTATCTAAATAATACAAAATAATTAGATGAAATATAAAGTTAGCAATCATCAACATTAGCTTTTCTTTTTCTACTTTGGAACTTGTAGTATAGAGTAAATAAGATGATTATAATGACATAACACAAGCATTAATGGAAATTGGCATTGTCATTTTGAAAACCTCAAAAACTCCTACAAAATAATTTAATATATTTTCAACTTTATAAAAGAGAAAAATATTTCTTGACTAAAATCAAGCATCCTCTTGAAACTTTATTTTGTAATACATCTCCAAAAGACAAATCAATACATAATTTAATGCTTTCTAGTTAAAAAAAACAAAAAAACACTTCCTCAGTAAAATCAATCATCAGGCATCCCAAGATACATATCATTAAGGTGTCATGTTTCTATGGTGACTACAGTGTATGTAGATGGAAGTCATACAACAAAATACATAGTAAAAAGAACAAACTTATTAAAGAAAAGGTTACTTACTAGAAAAAATTGAGGACATAAAAGGTTAGTCAAATCTAAAGCCAATGAAGTCATTCATATGTCATTAGCACTAACTATAAGACAAATATAGTTATCAAGAAGAAACACATGCACAGACACATTCATACCAACATCCCCACAAGCATGCAAGGCAGGCCTTGGGCGTTCACATTTTACAGGCCCCTAAAATTTTATCATATTTTACGGGCGCCTAAATAATTGCAACTTTTATACTATTAGTAGGCCCAAAAATAAAAGCTGAATCCAATTAATATAACTACACGATCCAAAATATATGTTTAGGGTCACATTATTTTTGGGTGTGCCTCACATTACACCACCTTTGAATCTACATTACACAACTTCTTTTTGAGGTAAATTTTTAACAAATGGTTTTTTTTTTTATATATATATGCATAAAGCGACCCAATTATAAGTTTTCACTTAGAACCCAAAGATATACCTGGGCCGACCCTGCAAGCCCACAACAATTTGACATAAAGTTGGTAAAAACCAATGAAAATAGACAAATGTGAGACACTATCGCTTTACACAAAGATGAGTAAACTGATAGCAGGGTTATGCCTTCTAATTCTATTTGAATAATAGATAAAATAAAAAGTATTCACTTCTGGGTAAAGGGAAAAAAAATTGCTAGTAAATGTGCTGAAAGTAGTTCTCAAACAAAATGCAAGCCAATTCAGTTGGCGCTCATAACATTTAAAAATATTAAACTCATCATTGTGTAAAGACGATACAAATTCACTTAGTTTCACTGAGTATATGGCTCTTATAACTTCAAGAGGACAGACAGTTCTAATGAATATTGTGATTGTATAATTATTTATTTTGAAATGCACAAGTTCCAATTGGGTTTCAATTCCTTATACTTGTGTCACTGAAGATAAGCATTTGTTCCACACCAATTAATTAGAATATAGAAAATTATAAGTTCTATTTCTCCGCCTTTTTTTACAATGAGGAGAACAGTAAAAAGGAAACTGCACTCACAGTGACAATAGAAGAGACCTTAACCCTAGGCCTTTAGAAAGTAACAAGTTCACAAACCCTTGATTCATCACTAGGTCAAGTTTTAGATTTAAACAAAAATACAAACACAACACTAAACAGAACATACAAGGACCATCAAGCATCATCCTACAATCAGCACACAAAGTTCTTTTAAAAATGAGAATCACATGAATGCATGAAAATTACCCATCCACACATGCATGTCAACATATATGATTATTTCAAGTAATTTAACTCTAAATCCCCCCAGCAAAGAGAGAATGATTTTAGGTATTACTCAACACGGAAGACAAATTCAAGAAATGAAAAACAAAAAGACGATTCTCTCTATAGCTCAGTAGATTGTGAGTAGCGCATTGAAGGAGTAGTACAAAACGTTACCTCCGACGAACCTGTAACAAAAAACACCCAACATCACACTCAAATACAGAAAATAGAGAAAATCTCACCAATCAACACCGTTTCACTGAACCAAACCACACGAGTAGAGAAAATGGAGTAGAAAAATCGTAAAAATGAATCGATTACAGAGATACATACACATACACATACATATACATATACATATACATATATATAAAGAGAGAGAGAGAGAGAGAGAGAGAGAGTAGTACCTGATGATCGGAAGGGGAATCGGACAGAGGATCGGAGGAGGACACGGCGGGGATTGAGAGTCACGCTATGGAGAGAAACTTGGAGAGGAAGAGAGAGGAAAGGAGTGTGAAATACATGAGTGACGACGGAGGAAAGAAGGGGGGCTTTCAGTGCGGGTTTATATATACGGTCTACTACTGTTAAGTATGGTCTCTATGAAGTCCAATTGAGGTCCGGACTCCAAATTTTTATTCAATTTGGGGAAATAAATTCATCTGCGCTATTGCCAGGGACCTGCTTTTGCTTTTTACCCAAGCAAGCAGCGTACGATGGTTTAATACTTTCAAATTAAAAATTAAAAATAATAATCATGTTTAGTTCTATTTTTTTAAAAGGTGATTTGAAAAAAATTAAAAATAATAATCATGTTTAGTTCTATTTTTTTAAAAGGCGATTTGAAAATTTTAACTTATTTCCGTTGTATAAAAAAAAATGAAAATTTTAAATTAAAAAAGGATTTTTTGTTTAGTTTTTTAAAAGATACATTATTGTGAATTTAAGTTTCCCTTTAATTTAAGGAGAGAAACAATTTTTTTAAAAAAATTATCACATCAAAAAATACACTCATGTTAGTTTTTAAAAAACTTTGTCCCATTTGCAAAATAACCAAACAAAAACTCCAAAACTTTCAAAAAAATGAGTTTAGAAAATTTGGATTTTAATTTTAAAAACGATTATGCTACGTAGCTCGAATTTCATGGCCCGACAGTTGGCTCGACACCAAAACGACGTCGTTTTGGTGTTGATTTTTTTTTTCTTTTCTTTTTTCCCTAGTTTTGCAGAACGAAGAAGAAGAAGGGAGAAGAAGAGAAGGGAGGAGGAAGGAGGGGGGAGGGAGGGAGGAAGAGAAGGGACTGGAAGGGGCATAATATTCGGGGGAAGAGGAGGCGGAGGTGTGGCGACAGCGGGGGAAGAAGAAGAAGAAGGGAGAAGAAGAGAAGGGAGGAGGAGGAGGAGGAGGAGGAAGGAGGGAGGAGAACTGCGGCGGGGCTGCGACGGCACGATTGGGCACGCGGATGGGCTGGGCAAACGACCAAGGCTGGGCAGGTGGGGCTGGGTAGAGGAAGACGATCGGCGAGCTGCGACGAGGACGGCGGAGGCGACGAGCCCTCACCTCTCTCTTTCTTCGTCTCTCCTCCTCTTCCCTTCTCTTCTCTTGCGAGCCAAAATTCGAGCCAATTTGTCGAGCTCTCAACCATTTTCCTTTTAAAAATTTGTTTTTCACTTATATTATATATATATATAAATTTTTTAGGTGCTATAATGATAAATTTAGACTTCGTTTGGGAAGTTTGGTTGATTTTTTTGTCTTTTTAACTATTTTAGTTTTAACTAAAAAGTTCGTTTGGATTGACTTTTTTTACTTTTTTAAGAAAAAAAATAAATAATTATGGTTTGAATGTGATCTTTTGTCTTATTGATTTTTAAGTCTATTTTATCTTTTTTGTAACTATTTTAGCTAAAAAATCAAAAAATCTCACATCTCAAACAACACCTTAAGGCCCTGTTTGTTTCCAGAGATAGAATGGAGGGGATTGATAGTGAGGGGATTAGTAGTGAGGAATTATTAAATTATTTTTATATAAAATAATAAAACAAATAAAAAAATATAAAAAATTAAAAATTATATTTTAAAAAAAATTTCCCATATATAAAAAATAAAAAAATTTCTAATCCCCTCACTATTTTTCTAATACCATCTCTACCTCCTCCTTACCAATCCCCTCTCCAAGGGTATTAGTAATATCAAGGGACTATAGTCCCAAGGCCTTCTCCCAAAACAAACAAAGCTATTACTAATACCTTGGTATTAGCAATCCCAATACCCTCTCTTTCACCCAAAACAAACGGGGCCTAAGAGTTGTTTTGGGTATTGCTTATAAGTTGATTTATTACTTATTATAAAAAGATGTTCATAATTTTTTTTTAAAAAAAAAATGATGTTATAAAAATAAGCCAATAAATAGGTTATTTCTTATGTCCCCAAAAGTGGCATAAGTCTATGAATATATAAGGGCTGTTTGGCAACTTTCCAAACAAGGCCTAAATGGTTACTACACCACCGTTACGGTTAGAAAAGACAATGGCAATTGGTGGTGGGATTGATATTGTGAGTGTTTGTGAAGTTGACTATTTTAGTAGGTTATTTTAATAGGCTATTTCAGTTTTGACTATTTTAGTAGGTTAAAATTTTTATACTTGGAAAGATTATTGGAATTTTTTGTAGTTAGATGTGATATTTGTGTGAGAAAAAGTAAAATGATTATGAGTTTAATGTAAAATTTTGTCTTATTAGTTATTTTAGTTTATTTTGTTTTTTGTGATTTTAGTCAAAAAATAGCCTAAACCTACGTTGCCAAACACTATAAGGTTATTGGCTTTTTTGCTTTCTGAGAGGTTATTCGTGTAACAATCTGAAATTTTAAATTGTCCCTTAAATTTTATATTAAATAATTTAAAAATAATAATTTTATCTTTATATTATTATTCGATATTATTTTCTGAGCATTATGATATTTTTATGATATTTTTCTCTATATTTTTCCTAAACCAAAATACATTGAAATATAATGGGCTTGTTTGGTTTGTGTTTCAAGATCAATTTTTGAGAGAAAAAATTACCAAAACGCGTTTGGCAAACAAATTTCTGAAATATTCTCTGAAGACTCATCTGAGAGAAAAAAAAGATGATTCCCAACATAATACGCATCTTCTGTCATTCACTTCTCTCTCTCAAAAGAACCTTTCTGACCTCATCTTTGATACAAAGAAAATCCTTCAGAGGCAGTCCAACAACTCTCTCTTAGCTGTGTCAAGGAAGACGATTCACGCCTGTAGGCCAATTTCTGCACTCGCCCAAGTGCCTTCGAAGAGACCTACTTGTCTTCTCTCCATCAGTACGTTGTTGAAGATTTGAGAAATCTTCCGCCATAGATACACCGACATTGTCTATCACCTCCTTCATCTCTGTGTCGCACAAGCTTGAGGCAATAGGGGGCATCTGCTCGTAAGGGTCATCTTTGAACAGCCACAGCTTGTCTGCCTCACAGATTTTCCCAAATCTTGCCCTAGCTTTGGTCTTACTCAAACTGAGTTAAATCTTCACACAATCTGGACTTGTAACATCAATGTCCATCATTTTTTCCTTATGGCCTCTCTAAAATGCAAACCAAAGCTTCGAACCCCACCAAGACGAAGCATAACTTCATCATTCGCTGCAAAAACGGAGAGGCCATGCTCAAAACTTCGTTGTGGACGGTGGGATTTGAGGGCCACCAAAAGCAAGCAAGCAAGAGGTATTTGTGTTGAACGAATGCTGTTTTTTTTTTTTTTGAAATTTCATTTGGTGCATGAGTTTTGAACAATGTGTTGACTAATTTTGGTTTACAAAGTTCCCATGGCTTATTTTTTCGTCACTGCCTTTGGGTTTGTCAATTTGTGGTGAAATTTCCCAATCGATAAATTTTCAAAAATTTGGAGCAGCACTGTCTGCCTTCAGGAAATATATGGAAATTTCAATTTACTAATAAAAAAATGCAGCAAAAAGTAAATTTTGATATGAGTTCTTATATGCAAACAAAATTTGTACACAATTATATATATGCAGAAGTGTAGAATAGAACTACTGGAACAAATCAAAATACCTAATTTGAGACATGAAGTAATTTAAAGTTGTGTATTTTAGGTACTACCTCAAAACAATGCTTCAAACCTGGCCTTTTGAGTAATGCATGCTTGTTTATTGTATCGTAGCCCATAGATTTGTTATCAAAATCTTTCTTGCTGATCATCTGCGAGTGAAACTTAAGTTTACTCAACATTGTTGAAAAAACTAATTTTACCCATCACACTTGTCATCATTAGTGTTTAAGGACGTCTTTCTAGTGATAAATAGATTACTAGATTGAAAATATTTTACCAAAGAGTTTTTTTTTTTTTTGTGTGCGTGTGGAAATCCTCTCTCTCTCTTTCTGTCCCGTTCATTTTGGGGTTAAACACCGATTAATACTGTGGTTACAAACTCCACAGAGTTCAGGTTAGCAATGTATTGATTTTATGTAACATTCCCAGGGTACCAAGACAGACTGTCCATGTGCATGTGTGATTGACCAACACACCAGACTCAATTAAGTCTGATTTTCAGAGGTTTAAATATTTGTTCACTATGATGTTTCTGAATGCTCAGCTGCATCTTTTGAGTTAATAGAAATTTTTCCTTTTCAGAAACTTCCTTGTTTGCAAAGTAAGAACCATATCCTTATGTTACCTTATTTTTTGAAAAAAGATTTGTGGAATAATTAGAAGTTCATTTTTTGGTTTTCATTTGTATGTATCTAACATATCATTATCTATAGCATCCAAACATCGTATACCATCCAAAATTTGCATACATCATGATTGTAATCTAACTTATATTTTTTGTGACAAACCTATTTGCTTCCCTTTTCATTAGAGTTTGTAACGCGTAATTGAACCACGTCCTGTTTTGCTTCATTTCTTTCACAAAACGTATGCACAGACCACATGAAATGGAATAGTTTGATAAACAGGTATTCGTTAGGCCACATGATCTGAATTAGAAGAGGGAAAAAAATTGAAGGCAATTTTGATAAACAGGTACTTGTAAGGGAATAAATATAGGGCAAATTAAGGCAATTTTGATAAACACGCAAAAATTAAGGTAGTTGTAGGGCCACATGATCTCAATTTGATAAACATGTTGTTTCCTATTTAAACTATTTCTCTGCAATGTTGCAGGCCAACTACGTAGTCCTCGGTCATTGTTCAATACACCAACAAATAAGAGGAAGAGATCACCTCAACCATCAGTCAATTCCTCCACTGCTAAAAACAATTGTCCTTATCCGGTAAACTTTTGCACGCGGAATCTCATATTAAATATTCGTAATGGCCCGCATAGTGATGCTAACCAGTTGTGGATTTTGGTAATTGGTAATTTATTTTTGTTCATGGACATTGGACTGCCATAGATGTATTCCCTATTATTATGCATATGCTTAATTTCACTTACTGCCAAACACAATGCTATTTTTGGAACTTAAGTTGTTCACATGACTATAAACGTTCATTTGTTGCACTTGTATTAGGCTAGAATGGCTAATGATATGGACGACTTTAAGATGTGGGGGTC